CTGCTGGGGGTTTATGCAGCAGCACCCTGTGTGTTAAGGGTCACACAGGTGTGGGTTGCAGGGGGGGTCACACAGTGTCGTGTAGTCTTCCTTTCTCTGGGGTCTCACAGTCTTTGCTCCTCTGGAGTTCCACAGTAGGTGGCTGGCTGTTGTTCTTCCCGGGTCTCTTCCAGGCCCCTCTCCCTCGTCTGGCGGCAGCATTCTCCCGTCTGGTGGCGGCGTTCTCCCGTCTGGCAGCAGCGTTCTAGCGCTGCGTTGCTCGTCGCTCTTGCTGGCACTGCGTCCCGTTCCAAATATTTCTTTTCCAAATTGTGCAAATAGTCTTTCTAAAACATAAAGTTGACCTATTTCCTCCATATTCAGGAGTTCTAGTGGCACAGTGGCTAAGCGTTCAGCTGCTAATCTAAAAGACTAAATTTCAAACCCACCAGCAGCCCCAATGGAAAGGGTGAGACAGTCAGCTTCCATAAAGTCATTGCTGCTTTTAGTTGTTGCCTATGTGCTGTGGAGTCAGACCCATCCCATAGCTGACCATCCAGTAGGTTTTCAGAGGCTGTAAGTCAAATGAGAGGAGAAGGTCCAGCCTTCTCCCACAGGAGCACCTGGTAGTTTTAAACTTCATACTTTTGGGATTGCAGTGCAGCTTCCTACCACCAGAGCTCCCTCCATAATGATTTACAGTCTTGGAAATCCTATGGGTCAGTTCTACTCCATTCTGGAGGGTCACTGTGAGTTAGCATGGACCCCACAATAATGGGCCCCATGTTAAATTTTTCATGTGGCCCCCTGCTGCCTCTGGAGCCAAGTTCCAGCTCCTGGAGGCCCTCTGTAGCATGCTAACCTCCTCTACAGTCATCTCTAGCTATTCAGCCAGTAGCCTCAAAGGCCCAGGTCTTCCTCACACCTGTGTTGCTATTGTTAGTGCCACCGAGTTGAGCATACCCCATAGAACCCTATAAACAACAGATGTGAACCCTGTTCTATCTTGTGTCATCTTCACAATCTGACATACTTGAGCTCATTGCTGCAGCCTCCAATATCAATCCATGTTGTTGAAGGCCCTCCTCTCCTTTGCTGACTCTCCACCTTTCTACGCATGATATCCCACTCCAAGACATTGCCTCTCCTAGCAACATGCCAAAGTATGTTCAAAGATGAAGCTTCAAAGATGAAGCTTTATCATCTTTGCCTCCACGAAGCACTCTGGTTGCACCTTCTCCAAGACATATGAGATACTCAGTCCTCTTTTCCAACACTACAGCTCCAGCTCTAAGCAGCATAGCAAGTGATTTAAAAGACCATAGCCTGAATCAGGTGCACCTTAGTGCTCAAACTGACATCATTATACCTCAATAATTTGGAAAGGTCCTTGATCGCAGACTTGCCAGTGCAATACGTCTGGTACCAAGGGTGTTGACTGTTGATCCAAGGAAGATGAAGCAATCTCAATCTTTTCTCTTATATATCATGATACTGTGTGTGCATCTAGTGGTGAGAATTTTGGTTTTCTTGACGCTAAGATGTGGGCAATGTTAAATTGCCCAAAAAACAAGGTAAGCACAAGTTTACTTGGATTTAGTAATCTGTAGACAACAATTTCACATGTTTTCACTCGATCAAAGATTTTGCTTTTTGGTGTGGCTGGCACACCTGTCTCTCTCTCTCAACTTCAGCACCTTGCTCCAGAAACAAAGCCTCTTTTCAGATTTACAATACCAAGCAAGGTAGGCACGGGTTTACAGTGTTCCTCGGGTAATCTACTCCTGACTGGCCTTGCTCCAGGGAGAAGCCTTCCTCTGGATGGGCCTCACTTCTCGTTCTGGCCATCTGAGTCTCACCTCCTGCGCACTCAGCACTGACACTTTTCGGGGGCCTGTCACCCACTTGACTAGGAGTAGGAAGTATCTATGGGGTCACTTCGGGACGCTGCTCTGCTCAGTCAGGGGGTAGGAGAGAGCGAGGTAGCCCCGGTGAGGTGGAAGAAGGGGCAGCAACCCGTCTCGCAAGCCGCCGAGCGAGTGTGGAGCGAGATCCCGGAGGAGCCCGGTGCAGCGCAGCCAGGCCCGGAGTGCAGCGCGGGCAGTCCGTGTGCCCGGCAGGGGGCGCCGAGTAGCCGCACCCGCGGGGCTGCCAGGTGACAGGGTCGAGGACTCTGAGACTTCCCTCCCCGAGTCCTTCCCACCGTATCTGCAGGCGGAACGGAAGAGGCTCAGGGGTAAGCGGCGTCAGTGCCTAGTCTGCGCATGCGTGCCTTGTAAAACGGGGGGTGGGGCCTGGGGTCGATGGGCGGGGTCTACGCTAGGGCCCGCCCCCACAGACTCTGGGAGCCGGGGAGAGCCAGGCGCCCTGAGGTTCCGGGGGCATTAGGTGAGCATGGGTTGCAGAGGGCTGGGAGGCTTCCCAGAGGCCGGGTCGTCTGTCTGCCTGCGGGCCCATCTGTCCTGCCGTCCGTCTCCGGCCGCCTCCGCGGAGAAAGGGAGAACAAAGGGAGGGGGCGGTTCTGGGGCCCCCGGAGGGAATCCAGGGTCCCAGGTACTCCGCCCCGCCCGCTGACACTTTCGATTTCTCCGAGTCAGAGGCGCTGCCCGCGAGACCCTGGGCCGGCGCCGGGCACTGCTGCCCCTCCGCGTTAGCCTGTCGGTCTTTGTGTCTGTCTCTGTGTCTGTCTGGCTGTCTCCGAACCTGCCTCTACTTCTAAAACTAAGCGGCCCAGACACCGACATCCCCTGGACCCTTGCCTTGTCCCATGGCAGGTAAGTGGTCGCAGGGCTGGAGGTCTCCGTTACCCCTCCCCGGGCTTGGGGAGCCAGTGTCTAACACATCCTCCGGGAATGTGCTCGGACTGGCTATATGGGCACCTCCCTTCCTCCAGGCAGCCTCCCCCTCCCCGCCGCCCCATCTTTCCAGCCTTTCAGGCCATTTTAATTGCTGCTTCGTGGCCCTAGGGACTGGGGGGTGGGAAGGTGAAGGGCTGAAGGTTGCAAGCCCCTTTCCAATCTTAACCTCCATTCCCACAGGCTATATGTCCCCCAAAGGCTATGCTCCTTCAGCTCCCCCTCCCTATCCTGTGACCGCCGGATACCCGGACCCCACCCTGCATCCTGCGCCCGGGCCCGCCCCGGTGCCTGCCCAGGTGCCGCTGCCCGCCCAGGTACCCAGCCCTGCGCCAGGCTTCGCTCTCTTCCCATCGCCCGGCCCCGTGGCTCCAGGTCCTGCTGTCCCCTTCCTGCCGTTACCAGGAGTGCCTTCAGGCCTCGAATTCCTGGTGCAGGTAAGTGAGAGAGAAGAAGGGGTGACAGAGATCAGGGGTTCAGACCAGCCTGCTGACATCGGTGGCTCCCTACTGTCTCCTTTTAGATTGACCACATCTTGATTCACCAGAAGGTTGAGCGAGTGGAAGGTAAGTGGAGCGGGGGCAGATTCTGGGCTTTGTGATGCCGGCGCGGATGGTGGGCTCTGGGCGACAGCATGCCTGAGCCTTAGCAGGGCTCCTTCATGCCCCTGGCAGCGCTCCTAGGCTGGGAAACCTGCAACCGATACGAGCTGCGCTCGGGGGTAGGACAGGCCCTCGGCCAGGCGGCGGAGGAGAGCAACTGCTGTGCCCGCCTTTGCTGTGGTGCCCGCCGGCCGCTGCGTGTACGCCTGGTGGACCCCTCAGACCGAGAGGTGTTGCGTCTGCTCCGCCCTCTCCACTGTGGCTGCAGCTGCTGCCCGTGTGGCCTCCAAGAGGTAAGTGGGCAGGGAGGGATGTGGCTTGGATGTACCTGGGCGGGTCTAAGGAGAGGGCTGGGAGGACCAGGAGAGAAGGAGGGCAGGTGGGGCCTGGGGACCCTGACATGGCAGTGACCCAATTTCCTGCTCTAGATGGAAGTTCAGTCTCCACCAGGCACCACCATTGGCCACGTGCTACAGACCTGGCACCCGTTCCTCCCCAAGTTCTCCATCCAGGATGCTGATCGCCAGACCATCCTACGGGTGGTGGGGCCCTGCTGGACCTGTGGCTGTGGCACAGACACCAACTTCGAGGTACAAGGAAGGGGAGCTTCATAAAGCACGATGGAAACTTCCATCATTCAAGATGACAGCCTCTATGAGGCAGAATGGCTGATGCTTGGGTCAAGGCTCTTAAGCTCATCCATCCAAATCCATTCTAATTCCTACAACATTTTCAGGTTTTCTGCTTTCTGAAATAGGATGGCTCAATGGTCTTATAAAGGCACACCATAGAGGGTTTCACCTTAACCAGTGTTGATTGTTGACTATAGCTGTGTTGAGGAAAATCTGAGACCTGTTTGGATTTCCCTTAAGGGGGACATGACTCAAAAATATTGAGTTGCTGTAGGCCATGCCCACGTGGCTGCTGTGCATAGATTTGCGAGCCTAGCTCCTGGGTTTGGTAGAAGGATAGGCAGTCTCCTCTCGTGCAATTTATTGTCTCTGATAACCCGTTGGAGGATCAGCCATGAGTCTATTCTGACTCATGCACACAACAGACCCCGGGATAAGCACTAGTTGATTCATTAGCATCGTGTGGCTTTCCCAACCAACTTAGAAGACCAAATGGCCTTTCCAACTTGGAATCCAAATAATACCCTTGCCACCATGTACTCTTATCACCAGCCTGGAGTCCCTAAGTGGTGACAGTTTCAAGCTGAGGCCTGGAAAGCACTTCATTTTCTAGATAAGAAAGGCACCTTATGGACACTTGAGTTTTTTAAGGGATAATTACCTGTACAGATAAGGAAGGGGACTGGTATAATCCACAGGCTTCCAAAGCTTCTGATTAGGTGCTCTGCCTAAAGTTACTTTTAAAAACTGAGTCACCTTGGTAGCCAAGGGAGCTTCTGGGATGGGAACTAGATGATCTTTGGTGGGACTGTGTTAACTATGGGTTCTCATAGAACCAGTCTCACTTTTACATAATTAGAAATAGCTCCTGTTTGAGGTTATAGCCTTGGGACCTTAGCAGGGAGAGGCCCTGATCAGTCTGGCACTGGGCTGCATGAAATGCCCCAGAGCTATTGGACAGTGAAGGGAAGAGGATGGGAAGGATAGAGCAGGAAGTCACTTTCATTCCAGTCAGTGAAGGAGGAACAAAGGAAAAGGACCAGGGAGCGGTGAACTACCAGCCAGCCTGGCAGGACTTCTTGCTGCTGAGGGCTCACAGAGGCTGATGGAAATCATAGTCCTCAGAGACCACTTACTGCTGCCTGCTTGTCTCTCTCATAGATGGGCTTGGAGTCACTGCTTCTAGATGATCTTTGCATGAAATGCTGGAAAAGGCCTTCCCTTGATTACAGAATTAGAGAAAAGCCACCACCTTAGGCAGACATGGAGTCCCTGGGTGGTGCAAATGGTTAACATGCTTGGCTGCTAGCAGAAAGGTTGGCATCCACCCGGAAGTACTCTGAAACAAAGGCCTGGTGACATACTCCTAACAGATCAGCTGAAAGCCCTGTGAAGTACAATTCTGTTTGGATGTGTGTGTGTGTGTGTGTGTGTGTGTGTGTGTGTGTGGTGGTGGTGGTGGTGGTGGTGGTGGTGGGGTATCTTCATAAATTAGAACTGACTCCATGGTAACTGTTGGGGAGGCAAGGGACCTGGTAGACATAGCCCTCCAGGAGTCTGGCTGGCTGGTGGGGTGCAGCCAGCATTTCAGGAGCCTCTTTCTTCTCAGCCAGGCTCCTCTGTGCAGGACACAAACTGTACCAGTCTGTGTGCCAGGGACATTGGAAACCACAGCGAACTTAGTAGCCATACACTAAGAGGATTAGACTATATCATGTTTCCATCACTCTCACAACTGGAAAAAGTCGTGTCGTATATGATCTTTGGAGAGTCACAGCTCTGATTTTGCCGCATGCTCACATTGTGACCTAGAGTGCCATGGTTTACCCAGTTGTTGTTGCATGGAAACCCAAGGTGGCTGGGAGGATTCACAGTGATAAGGTGTAGCTAGTGTCTTGATGGATGGTGAGACTTCATCTTACTTGCTTTGGACATGTTATCAAGAGAGGACATCATGCCTGGAAAAGTAGTAGGTCAGAGAAAGAGAGGAAATCCCTCTTTGAGCTAGATTGCTATCGGACTGCAACAATGGGCTTAAGCACAGTGGATCTGGAGGATGGTGCAAAATTGGGCAGAGTTTTGATTTGTCATACATAGGGTTGCTGTGTGTTGGAGTTGATTCAACAGCTCCTAAGAAATGCCTGATAGGTGACTTACAAATGGAATATCTTTCCTTAGCCTGCCAGAAGTCTAAAGTTGAGGTTCATGAGCACCTGCTTAAGAGTGCACTTGTGGTTTCTGTCCCTACCACAAGTGTGTGTGTGTGTGTGTGTGTGTGTGTGTGTGTGTGTCCAAACCAACCCTAGCGGACTTCTGAGGACTAATGACTAGGATAGACCCTCCTTGTTTAGTGAGTATTACCTGCTTGAGAGAGCTCTGGTGGCTAGTGGGTAAGGAGTGATATGGCAAAACCAAAGGCCTGTGGTTCGAATCCACCATTTCCACAGGAGAAAGATGCGCAGTCTCCTCCCATGTGATTTACAGCCTCTGAAAATCCACTGGAGGGTCAGCTGTGAGTCAGTTCTGACTCCCACAGAGACTTTGACTTTTTTGAGGTTACTACTTACATGGTGCAAATAAATAAGCACTCACCTGCTAATTGGAAGGTTGATGGTTTGAACCCTTCCATCTGCAAGATCAACATGACTTGGAATAGATTTTAAGGCTACTGGCTTGAGATATTTGGGGGGGGGGGGGTTGGCACTGTCAAATACCCTTCCCTGACTCTCACAGAGTGTTCTAAGGATTCAGATGAACTTGCCATAGATCCCCCTTTTCCAAAGAAGACTGTAAGACTGTAGTTGCAGTGTAGCTGTAGCAAAAGTCAGGCCTCTCACCTATCCCCACCCCCGCCCCGTCTAGACTACTTGCCTTGACTTCTGAGGCTCAAATAGGATGTTTGGGGCCTTGTGCATTTTTCTCTTGAAGCTGCCACTAGCCCATATGGTATTTTAAATTCACTAGGAAAAGCTATCCCTTCTTTAAGAAACTTATTACCATGTGCCGCAAAATCCTCATGATTTAATTTCACAAGCCTCCACTGTGAGTGAGTGGCATCACCTTTGATGTGACGCCTTGGTACAGCGTCAGCCTGCATGAGTACACACGGTGCTGTGGGTGTGGCGCTCTGGTACGATGTCAGCCTGTGCGAATACACATGGTGCTGTGGGTGTGGCGCCCTGGTACAGCGTCAGCCTGCATGAGTACACACGGTGCTGTGGGTGTGGCGCTCTGGTACGATGTCAGCCTGTGCGAATACACATGGTGCTGTGGGTATGGCGCCCTGGTATGGTGTCAGCCTGTGCAAGTACACATGGTGCTGTGGGTGTGGCGCTCTGGTATGGTGTCAGCCTGTGCGAATACACATGGTGCTGTGGGTATGGCGCCCTGGTATGGTGTCAGCCTGTGCGAGTACACACGGTGCTGTGGGTGTGGCGCTCTGGTATGGTGTCAGCCTGTGCGAATACACACGGTGCCGTGGGTGTGGCATCCACATACGGTGTCAGCCTGTGCAAGTACACATGTGCTATGACATGAAACAAGGTGGCGAGGTTGGTCCCTTCCTCTTTGTTGGCTCTCATCCCCTCCTGCCAGGTGAAGACCAAGGACGAGTCCCGCAGCGTGGGCCGCATCAGCAAGCAGTGGGGGGGCCTGGTCCGAGAAGCCCTCACGGATGCTGATGACTTTGGCTTACAGTTCCCAGTGGATCTGGATGTGAAGGTCAAGGCTGTGCTGCTGGGAGCCACGTTCCTCATTGTGAGTCCTCCACCCCTCACCCCCTCGCTTGGATCTCTGTGCACCCCCTGGCCTCCTGCTCTGGAGGGTTGGTATGAGGGGCAGTTTATTGGTGCTTGGAGTATACACCTGGGGTGACAGCTGGCTCTTCTGTGATGGCATCTTCCCCACAGGACTACATGTTCTTTGAGAAGCGAGGCGGTGCTGGACCCTCTGCCATCACCAGCTAAGGGCTCCTCCAGGGTGAGGAGACCATCATCTCAAAGCAGAATTCAAGATGGTCGTCTGCTCTGGCCTGACCCTTCCTCAGAGGCAGCGTATCTCCTCCACGTGCACAGTAGGGGACAGACAGGGTACCTGAAAAGCGGGGTCCATGCACTCCATCCCTGCCCTACCTCTTGGACCTCTTTCATCTGTGGCCCCTGTGGAAGAGTCTGTAGGAGAGCCCTTCCCCGCTACCTCCCACCACTATTTCCCGGCACACAGGCTATCGGCTTGCGATCCTTCTCTGCCCACCCATTTCAGGGCCTCTGTTCCAAAAGTGACCTTTGGAACCCAGAACTTTGGGGTGTCCTGACAGAGCAGGGATGGAGCAGAATCAACAGCACCAAAGAATGCAGCACCAATGGCTGCTTCTCCCAGTGTCAGCTCTGGCCAACTGACTCAGCCTCAGACGATGGCACTTTGAGGGGATCCCTGCCTCATCACCAACTAGGTAGGGTCTGGACCCTAGTGCCAACTTCCCCCTTCTGCTGGGCTCTCCCCACAGCTGGTGCTTGCTGCAGCTTCCTTTGCCTTATTATTTAACCCTGACTTCCTTCTTGCTCTAGAAGGAGGCTATATCTTTGTATGTTAAGTTCATATAAACTTTATATAACTTTTTGAACATTGGAAGATGTATGTAATGGGGAAGGTAGAAGTAGAGGTATGACAGCTGGAGTGAGGGCTGGACCTTCTTATGAGACATACTACCAGGAACAATTGTCCCTGAGTCCCAGAAAACAGCTTTCATCACCACCACGGTCCAGCCAAGGTCTGTGTTCGGGCCATATGCCCCAACTCAGCATGCTGCTTCCAGAGTCCAGTGCTGGATGATGACTGGGCCTGTGGTCCACCATGGCCACCTGACCATCACCTGCAGTGAGCGGAAGCCTACTTTGTGTGTGGCGTGCAGCAGCTCTGCTCCTCTGAGTCCTCCTCCTGATTGGCAATGTCGAGGGCAGAGTGCATCCTGCTGTGACCCAATCTAGGGGGCTTGAGCACTCAGAGGCCAAAGGTCAGCCTGGGGTTCCTCCACTTGCCTACAGCAGACCTCCCCAGGTGGCAGTCAGCCTCTGCCAGGATCTCGTTCTGTTTGACCCCAGATGGCCAGGCACTGTGGTGCCCAGGCTTTCCATGCCAGTGTCCGTTCCCAAGGTGGCAGAGCTCAGGGCCTTGCCAGGACGTAGCGGCTAGCTGCTGAGAGGTCCCACTTGTAGTGCTCTAGAATCCGCCGGCAGTCTGCCCAGGACCGGCTGCCCAGGTGGAACAGCTGATCTACCTGTGGGGGCCAGATGAGAAGCAGGCTAAGCTGTCTGCCTGAGGGCAAGGGTGCAGGAGAAGGAGCTGGGGAGAGCGATTAGGCACTACCTTTAGGTTCTGGATGGCAGAAACCACATCTCCCCCAGTGGCTCTCAGTGCAGCCTGACACTCCCTGTGGGTGACTCCATGCACACTCAGCTCCACCTGCAGAGGAGAAAGAACATCAGCTTCCTGCACCCTACAGCCCTTTCTGGACATCAGGCCTTTCTGGAGAGACCTCACCTCCATAATCCTCCTCTGTAGTTCGGGGTCAGGCAGGAGGCCTCCAGAGGGCGCAGTGGCTTTGCTGACTGCAGGTGCTCCCGCAGGGTGACCATGGGGCTCCCTTTTGGGCCAAGGGCCCCGTTCCTTGGGGGGCTGGCTGGGCTGAGAGGCAGAGTTGGAGGCAAAGGGCGGGCGAGGTGGTGGGGCTGGGGGTCCCTCAGGCACGACTTTGGCAGTCCGAAGTTCAGGGGGACTTGAGCCACCTCCTGTGGGGCGAGGGCCCAGGGACAGAACCGACTCTAGGCTCTTGGAGGTGCCTGCACAGGTGAGAAAACAATTTGAGAAGGACCGGAGGAGCCAGCTGCTGCCTTCTGCAGGGCTGCTCCCTCCAGCCATCCATGCTGAGTTGGCTGGTTCGGCAAGAATTTACACATGATCTATCCAGCCTGTTCTCTGGGTGGTCCACATGTCAGGCAGGACAGCAAGACACAGGCAGAAGTAATTCCAAAGCCAAAACTCAGCCAGGGGAGGGCCTGCCCAGCTGAAAATGGGGCATGCTTTCAGCAGGGAAGGGAAGAGGCGTGGCACCTCTTAAATCTCAAAACACAGCTAGGATGTGAATAAGCAGAACTTGCAAGAAGTCATAGACAGAAAAGCACAGGGAAAGGGCAGACATGGAGAGCTGGGCTTCAGTTCTTCAGAGACCTGGAGGCCCGAGGTATACCCACCTTTCGTCCTGGCCAGGGACAGGTCCCTTTGCTGGCCCCGTACTGAAGGTAGATCTTGAAGTTTTGGCTTTGCTCTGTCTCTGTGGGAGAGTGGTCCTGTTCACTGAACACCTGGTCACACTTTATACCCTCTAACCTGTCAGTGGACTCCCTGGGAAGTGGAGACCCAGACTGGACCTTCCAGTTGGGAGGTCCTTCTTTCTTCCCTCCCTCCCTCCCTCCCTCCCTCCCTCCCCAAGTGTCCCTTCCTGAGAAACTTTTGGACCTGGGCCCCTCTTCCAGGTCCTTACCCATTGGCAATGCCCCGGCGCCGCTCTCCTGGGAGAGGGCCAGGGGCACCTCTATGGACTGGACGAGGGGCCGGTCGGTCTGCCAGAGTCACTGCTGACGCAGGGAAGCTGCCCACTTTGAGCGTTTTGCTGTTCTGTCCCTTCCACGTGGTGGCATCAGGGCTGTGAGAAGAGGGGCTTGTGAGCAAGGATGGAAACAAGGGACAAAGTGAGGGCGAGGCGCCAGCCCACATTCAGCTCTCCAAGATCTGTGTCTGCCTGGAGAGGGAGAAGCCTTTCTCAGAAACACACAAGGTCATATTGGCCAACAGTCACTCCAGCGGGAAGGCCAGGGATGAGGTGGGATTCTCAGGGCTCAGGTATGACAGGAAGAGGGGAGAGAACAAAAGTTCAAGGAGCTGGGGAAGGGGAGAATGCAGAGAATCAGGAGTAAGGAAGGGTGGGAGGGGTCCGCAGACAGGGGTCATCACCTGCCCTCGATGATGGTAATGGGGTCACCAGACTCCATCCTTAGGGCACCTGGTTCCATGATGTCCCTCACACAGTGTCCCTCAGGAGGCCAGGCCTGTGGGCACAGGAGGGCAAGGGGGCTGGGATTGCAGCCTGTCTCAGAAGGGTAATGTCATGGGAATGGGGAGGACAGGAACCCTTTCCTGTTTGCAGACTTGCCAATCAAACCCACACCAGGCAAATCCTCTGGGATGATGTGAGGATTGTAGGAGATAGGACAGACAGTATCTTACCCAGATCAGGCAGTGTATGTTAGTTGTTGGTTAACATGCCTCACAGATCCCTCCATGACGCAGACCTTGCCCCCTCACACCCTTTTCTCAGTTGTACTTCTCCCTCCCACGTGGAACTTCTCTTCAGTGCCCCCTGCCTGTCTCCCCTGCAGGTTTCTGCAGCCCTTCTGCTTGTATCTTGTTGGCCCTAAGGTGCGTCCTGGGGGGACTGGGTGAATAGGTTTTGTTCAGAGCTGACTTCCAGAGCCCAGCCCAGGAGTCAGCACGTGGGTCCCATGCATGGGACTCTGGGAGAGATAATAGAGGGAAGAGAGATAATATGGGGTGTAAGGGGTACTCACCTCTTGGAGCAGCCCCTCTAGTTGGGAAAAATAGGGCCGGTCAGCAGGGTGGGGGGCCCAGCAGCGCAGTGCAATGGCATAGAGGGCCCTGGAGCAGAGCGGTGGCCGGGGCAGCCGGGCACGATCCTTCTCCAGTCGGTGCAGGATGAGGTAGGGTGGGATGCCGGCCCAGGGCTCCTCACCCCCTGAGAACATCTCCCACAGCGTCACCCCAAACATCCACACGTCTGAGGCAGAAGAGAAGGCTCCTTGGCGCAGGCTCTCTGGGGCACACCTATGGAAGTGGTGCTGAAGGGGGGGGTATGAACCCCTCAGAACGCCCACCTCCCATCGAGCACCCCGTCATCTTCAGTTCTCTCCGAGCCCCTCCTGATCTGATCCCCGTCCCAGCCTCCTTCAGAGGATCTCCCACTCCCAGGGAGGCACTGCCCTCCTGACTTGGCCCTTACCAAGCATAGGGGATGGGGCGGGGCCCGCCCATGACATAGCGCCCGCGGGTGCCACCTATTGGCCGCACCAGCCCAAAATCGGCCACCTTGATGGTCTGCGGTCCAGCCAGCAGCAGGTTGCGTGTGGCGAGGTCTCGGTGCACCAGCCCGCAGGCCCCCAGGTATGTCATGGCCCCCGCCAGCTGCCTCAGAAAGAGGCAGAGGAGGGACACAGGCAAAGGGGGTGTGGGGGCCGGGGCGGTGAGGCGCGCGTGCAGGGAGCCCAGCGGGGCCAGCTCCATCACCTGCCACAGCACAGCATCTGTGAGAGGGCATCCAGCCCCAAGGACTTCAGCTGCCCATCCTCCCGGGGGGGCTCCCCACCCAGCTCAAGACGGGCTGGAGAATGGGTCCAGCTCTGCTCACCATCTGCAGGGGCTGGCCCAGAACCAGCCCATGGAGACGCAGCACGTGTTGGTGGTCCAAGTTCATCATGACCGATACCTCTCTGAGGAAGTCCCCTAGTTCAGCGCCCACTGGCCCTTCAGGACCTACCCGGAGGGACTTGACTGCCACTGGGACCTGGAGAGGGACACCATAGGGCATGTAGGGGAATGGCTATGCCTGAGCCAGGGTAGAGAAGACATGCAGAAGGCATCCAGGTACCCAGGGAATGGGAGGGGGGGGGGGGGGGGTCCCTTGACACTCACACTCTGGCCTCCAGGTAGTGTCCACAGCCCTCGGTGCACCACACCAAAGCAACCGGAGCCCAGCAGCTCCCCTCTGCACACAGAGGCCTCTGGGATCAGACACTTGAGTCCTCCCTCAGATTCAGGGAGGCCCAGAGAACTGTCTAAGGGTGGAGTGGTCTCCTGCTCAGGGGCAAAGCCCCCAAGAATCTGGAACAGGAATGAGAGGTCAGCATACAGATCCAGCATACCTCCCCCTGCTGTTCAGCCCCACTCATCCCTGGGGTCAGCTGGCCCTTTAAGGGCCCCCCTCTTTCCCCATTTGCACACACACCTTGTATACCCAGTTCCTGGACTTGATCCCAGAACGGTGCCTCTTCAGAGCTTCAGCCAGTCTGCGCTGGGCTGGGAGAGATTAGAATCAGAGGCCCGGGGTGAGGGGCCTGGGTGCTGGAGTGCTGAGAGATTGACAGGTCAGAGGAGAACTAGAGTCTTAAGACCATACCACCCTGAATGCGCCCTGATCTCATCAGAGGAGGACTAGAGTGGGGGAGGGGAAACCAGGACTTCAAGGCAGAGAGTCCTCACCAGGCCGACCCATGCCAATGCTGTCCAGGTCCTCCGGCCTTACAAAGTCAAAGTGCTCTGGGCGCGTGACATTGAGCTGCTCGAGAATGGGCCAATAAAATTGGGCCAGCTGGATGTCCCGCAGCAGCCTCAGCAGCCACATGGAGCTCCCCTCTGGGACCATGTCTGGAGGTCCTAAGGATGACAACACCCTCAGAGACACAGCCTGGGACGGACTTTGAAGACACCTGGACACACTCTCAAGATGAAATTCCAGCCCCTTAGAAACACTCAGAGGTAGAGAGAGGGACACAGAGAATGCCAGGAACCCCACATACACACATATTGTGCCAGCTCCCCCTGGCATAATACTCCCCAGTCCAAAACCTCAAAGTAGTCCCCACCCTGCCGCGTGTGAAACCAGATCAGTTCTCCTCACATCCAAACGTCAGTACAAACAGTTAAGCATTCAGCTGCCATGGAACGTTGTAGATTAGCATCTACCCCAGGGATCGTCAGAGGAGAAGCATCTACTGGCATATACTTTCTAAAAAGCAGCCATTAAAAATCTGATAGAGTGTGGCTCCACTCTGACACCCACAGGGTCATCATTAAGTACGATCATCTAGAGAGCAACTGGTTTTTCATTTCCCTTCCTGGATGACAGACTTCAGGCATGGTGCCCTCTTCATTCCTGAGACAGTGTGGCATGATGTCCCTGTACCCCTACAGCTTGCACTGCCTTTTAGACCTAAGCTATACAGGGACATCTCTATATGTACACATTCACTCACGTACACCTGAGACACCGCCCCTCCTCATATATGAACCATTTCTGTCTAAACAATCCCTGAAGTTACACCTCAGAGAGGCTGGCACACACACATGAAAATATGGAATGAAACATACAGTGACAGTAAAATTTGTTAGAGCTATAATTCCATAGGGCTGCCTTGTTTTTCCAAGTCTCACAAGTTTTCCCGCTTTTACAGGGTCTCTCCTCTCTTCTGAGGGAACTCTGGTGGCCTAGTGGTAAGAAGCTGTGCTACAATCCCAAAGGCAATGGTAATTTGAATCCACAAGGATGGACAATCTCCTCCCAGGTGGTTTGCTGCCTCTGAAAACCTGCTGGAGAGTCAGCTAGGAGTCAGTTACAACTCCATGGTACACAACCACCATCTCTCTTCTATTGCTTTCTGTAGTGAAAAACATTTGCACTTCCTTCTCTGGCAGGTGTCTGTCTTACACAGGTCCTGTCTCCGATGATTTTTACTGCATATAGCCAAGCACTCCATGGCACCCCAAGATGCTGCCACCCAGGGCCCAAGTCTACTGCCACACACCTTTTCTCACACCTGTGCTAAAAACCTGGCAGCTTACAGTCTCACACCCGAGTCAAGGTCCTTGACTATCTAGGACCGTATCCCTCCCTGACAAGGTGCCCAGGTGCAACATGGCCTGCATCATCCAGGGCTGACGCTGGAAATCAAAGGGGGCCTCTGCAATCAGCTGCTAAGTGCAGGCCAGCTGATGGAGTCACCTGGAGGGGCCAAGTACACAGTCCCACCCACACCCACCTGAGCTCAAGTTCAGGTACACAGCGCTGCCAGCACCCCTGAGTCACTCTGTATACACCCTGGTTTCAAGGCAACTCCACCAGGCTTGGTGGAAAGGCTCTAGGCTCCGTGGCCGCAGGCCCCAACTCTCCCAGCTGAGTTAGGAGAGAGCAAGCGAACCAGCAACACAGGGCAAAGGAGAAAGAAGCAGGGACGGCTGGAGGGAGGCGGGGAAAGGGTGAGCCAAGGTTCCTGGAGGACCAGGGCATAAGGCGGGAATGGGACAGGGTGCCGCGAAAGGGAAGGACGGAGTAAAGTGAGGGGGTCAGGGAGTCTCAGACCAGAGCGATGGCCCAGAGGGACAGCTGCTGGCCAGATTGCCCAGCTCACCTGGGACCTTACCTGGCGAAGGCGGAAGCAGCAGCTGCTGTTCAGCTCGGTTGCCTGGACTAAATCCCTTGCCGGGGGGGTGGGGCTGAGGCTGCAGGGCGGTACCTGGCGACTAGGCCCTGTGACTGCGGCTCCGCCCTCAGCCCACAGGTGGGACTAAGAGAAAGTGACCAGGGAGCCGTCGCTCCTTTGGACCCAGAGAAACCGCCTCTCCCCTTCTTCTGCTCACCTTGTACCCCCCTCACTGATGAATATTTCTCAGAGTCCGGATCCTCTCCCTAAATACTTCACCTGGTTGACCAGAACCCTCCCTCCCCACTAAATAAATAAGCGCTCTCTCACACATACACACATACACACACACTGGGTGGTGTAGTTATCCAGCTTGGTTGCCAACTGAAAGTTTGGAGGTTCACATACACCCAGAGGCAGCTGTAAGTCCAGGCCCTGCTGTCTACTACAGAGAATACAGTGTTGAAAACTCTGTTGAGCACAGTCCAGCTTTGACACACAGGCACTGGACTTGATTTTGAAGACTCCTGGCTTTTTAGAGGTTCAGTCTCTTTTTTTATCTTTCGGTTTTGGAGACCAAAAAAAATACCAACAACAACAACTGCAGGGAGTTGGAGGTTTCTTTGTCTCTCTTTTCCAGGCAGAGGCCATGCCCAGGCACTGGGCATATAAATCTAAGGCAATCAGAGGTCCTGCCCCATGGCAAGGGAGAAGGCCTGGAAGCAAGGGGAGATGAACCCTGCCGGGCAGGAAGTCAGGCCGCAGCCTAGAGTGAATCTAAGGCGGAAGTTTGGGTGTCCTTTTCTCAGATGTGCTGCCCTGAAAACACAAACACACACACACACACACACACACACACACACACACACACACACACCCCAACTCCTGCTGAAAATCCCCTGGGGTAGACCACATGGGAGGTCTGGACGGAGGATGCTTCTCCTTCTGTGAGGCCCCACCCTGAGCGGGCATCTGGATTTGGTGAGCAAGACTGGTACTCCATGCCTCAGGGCACTGTTTGCTGACAAGTTTTGGCTTCACATTGGTGGAAGCTTCTCCCTCCTCTGTACAGCATCTGCTGACCTTGTGTGCCCGTATGCAGGTACTTGACCTCTGGCCATAGTTCAGGCCTGGAAGAAGGCTCTGGAAAAGCTCATTGTCTCTCCATTATTTTCCCCCTAGGGGCTCCCAAAGAAGACAGCTACCTGTCTTGGAAGATCTGATTTATCTGTTTTCCTCTATTCTCAAGGAAGGATGTGTGAACACAGCAGCTGCCTGCTCTCCCCACAGTCTCAGGGAGGTGGGCGGGGAAACACCTCCCTGTCTCTGTAAATGTGCAGCATGTTCCAGCACTGGTAGTAGGATCTTTACAACCTGGGTCCATGGGTATGTTCTTGTCCGTTCTCTGGGCCTTCAACCAGGGCAGAACACAGTAAGTGCTCGTCCTGCGTCAGGTTTCACTGATACACTGTGGCCTCACAGGGCAGGGTCTGGGTGGGTCTGGTTAGTTGCTCTTAATACCTGGGACAGTGTAGGCACAAAATATCACAATGTTCAGTGATTGTGAAGAAGTTGCAGTCCTTTGTAGATGACCTGTTCTCCTTACTTTTTAAGTCATCATTGTCTTTTGATATTTTCTAGTTTTATTACAGGGAGTTCTGGGCTAGTGGTAAGGGGTTGCAGTAACAACTCCAAGGCATGAAACTTTAATCTTCCAGCTGCTATATGGGAGAAAGATAGGCAGTCTCCTCTAGTGTGACTTACAGCCTCTAAAAACTGGCTGGAAAATCAGCTATTCATGGTTCTGACTTGACAGGACACAACAACAGTTTTATTATAATGTATCAGATAAGGATTCCTTTTTCATTATTATTATTTACAGTGTGTTGCATTTTCTGCATCTAGTAGTTGACATCTTTCACTGGTTTTGTAAAGTTCTCTTCAGATATCCTTTTCTTCTGCTCTCTATACTCTCTCTGTTGGAGACTGTCATCAGAAACATTCCAGATCTTTTCCCTCTACCTGCATGTGCCTTAACTTCTCTCTATGTTTCTTATTTCTGGGTGTTGGCATGCAAGTCTGCTTATCTTTTCAGACCTAATTGTCAGTCATTGATTCTCTCTTCAGCCGTATCTGATATGCCGCTTCACTGAGTCAATATGTTTTGTTATTTCTGTTGTTGTTATGAATATTATCATATATAACTTTTTATAATGACAGCACTTTGCTGAACTCTAACATATGTTCAGTAACTTACATGCATTTAATAAATTTCAACAAACACTCTGTGTGCAATGGGTTTCTCTTACAGCCTTTCTAGCCATGGGTTTATAACTCAGTCAACAATGATTGGCTAGGCCACAACCTGGCAAAACTCAAACTCACTGCCCAATGAGTCAGAACCAACTCATAGCTGACATTCCAGTGGGTTCTGTTGTTGTTGTTAAGTGCTATAGAGTAATAGATGACCCATAGCTACCCTATAAAAATCTTGAGCACAAAACTTTCATCTTTTCTCCAAGTTCATAGAGTTTCCTGAGGCAAGCTTTTTTTGGAAGTGGATGCTGCTCCTGCTTCCAAGCCTGTTTTATTTGAGAACCACCAAAAGCCTTTTTAAATATGAGGCCAAATCCAATCAGCTCACACCCTTTTGCGAGCAACAGCCACACCCTAGTCTAACCCCAAACCAAAAAACACATCTTTGCAGAATCTGGGCCATTAGACTCATATTCCCATTCTGGAAATAACCCTAGACTGGAGGTCAAAAGCCTTTGTAAATATGAGGCCAAATCCAATCAGCTCACATCCTATTGCGAACAACAGCCACACCCTAGTCTCAACCCCAAACCAGAAAACACACCTTTGCAGAATCCGAGGAAACTGTTAATCTCTCTCCATCAGAGTTCCTGGTGGATTCAAACTGGTAGAGGGGGTTAGCCTTTAGGTCAATAAGGTAACTCCCTACAGACTAAGGCATCAGAGATCTCTACAATCTTTCAAGGATCGAGCTATTACTATGTAAGCAGGATATGTAAAGCTATCCAGTAGAATTAAGTGACCTGTGGAGGGTTGGTGGGTTTACAGCTCAGCTGAAAGGCCATGCTTTGAAATTAAAAAGATGCTTCGCTTTAATAGCTAACTGATGAAAATAGCTAACTATTTAAATAGTTAACTGATGAAAGTTTTTAAAGGGGTGGGAGTGTGGATGGGGCAAGGTAAAAAGAGA